CCTTCAGCTCCCAAGACCTGAAGTTCTCTGGAAATTCCTTTTTTTGTCTCTCCAGCTCTCTCCCTTTCATTTGAACAATCCTGAAAGCCCACATTTAGCCATTAAAAGTGCGATAATATACAAGTTATTAAAGATATGTGATGCTCTGTCAGGATCTCTTGACTTGCTGTCTATAATTGTGCATTAGATCAGAATCTTGCATCATTGTTTGGAGTTGAGGGCCAGAAGAAAATAAATTAAGATGGACGAGGTTCAATGGCTGAGCCTTGCTGTACATTGTTCAAGAATAACTAAAAAAAAAGCCGAATTTTGTTCCAGTTCAGGATTCATAGTTCTGTCAACTTGAACTTTCAAAATAGCCATCTACATTTTGGACTTTCGGTCCAGGGTGCAGGCTGAATTGGGAGTCAACCGGAGAAGAGCTTAAGAGACACTCTGTTCCCAAGTTGGGCTAGATGAAAAGCCTACCTGGGAATTATAACACTAAGTAAAACAGAAAACATCCCTCTTGCTCACTATCTACACTTGATCCATTTGCTACCTACTTATGAAAATGTGCACTCACATTAATGCAAAATAAACACATAGCACAGTGAAATTGGAAGAACAAATTCCTTATGAAAAAACAAACCTTTCTCTTAAGTGTTCAATGACTTAGCTATGCAAACATTTCACTTGTGGTTAATACTTTATGTCAATAAACACCTCCCTTAAGTACCTAAAATCTTTAGTGAATGAACATTTCTATTCAGAAAGCAGGTGCCGATATCATCAGTAGGTACCCATCATGAAAATGATAGTTTTGGAAATCAGTCATGATGCACAAATCTTACAATGGACTGATATAAACAGGCATTCTCAAACATTGCAGCAGTGAACCTTTTTTAACTATACTTTTCAAGAAACTGCCCAAAAACCTTTGCAAGACCCAATGAGCTTATACATGTGCTAAGTGCAAGCATATCTTTCCACAGTCCCTGACGGTGATTTGTCTCCAATGAAAATGTCCAAAGACCATATCCAAAGATGATAACTTATCTCTCTAAAAGGTGGAAACTCTAAAGCATACTTCCAATACTCCCCCTCACTCCCCATGCCCTCTCATACCAGCTTATGCAAGCTAATATCCACGTCCATCCATGATGCTCCTCATGCCCCTGTGCCACTTTTCACCAATCACCCCTTCTCCCTCCACCATTTTGCTAACACATTCAGTATCCTGGATGAGTGCAGCTCCAACAACATTCAAGAAGCTTAGCAACATCTAGGAAAAAGTAGTCAGCTTGATTAGCCCCTCATTTAGCACCTTCAGACATTAGGTTTCTTCACCACTGACGCACGTTGGCAGTAGTGTATATCATAAATAATATGGTCTGCAAAAACTCAGCAAAGCCATCTGCTGGAGAGCTGCTTCTTGGATCACTGAAATCCATGTGATATTGCTACAGTAGACAGGAAATTCCAGGATTTTGACTGGGTAACAATTGAGGAATAGCGTTATAGTTCCAAGTCAGGATGATGTGTGGCTTGGAGGAGAACTGGGAAATGGTGGTATTACCACACATCAACTGTTCTTGTAGTAGGCAGTAGAGATCAGTAGGGTTGAAAGATAGTATCTTCCAAATAAAACAATCTAAGGAGCCTTGGTGACTTGTTGCAGAGCATCTTGTTGATCGTACACATTGCTGACTGAGCTTTGATGCCAAGGGAGTGAATGTTGATGGTATTATATGGGTGCTGATGAAGCAGGCTGCTTTGTCCTGCATGATGCTAACCTTCTTGAGTGTTTGAGTTTCACTGATTCAGACTATTGGCGAGTATTGTATCACACTCCTGACTTGTGCCTTGTAGATAGCAGATATTGTTTGAGGAATCAGGAAGTGAGTTACTTGTCACAGAACTCTCAGCCTCTGAGTGGTTTTCATATACAAACTTTTTTATATGGCTAGTCCAGTTCAGATTCTGGTTAGTACCATGCATTTTCAGACATGACATTTCTGAACAAATTGACATTTGTTGATCGATCTTGACAAATTGAAAATTTCCAAGGAGTTTATGCAGCATTTATAGGCCACAGCCTATATTTCCACAGCCAGCTGATCCAAAGGGCAACTTATCCCTCACACCCACAGAGGAAATTGAATGCTCCTTCCCAACAAGGATCACTGCCTCTCTGTCCCCAAGGTGTCCTGGCGCCATATCCACAAGAGCACATCAGTATTCTAGAGGGCTGCACTGAAAACAGACATGCTGTTCTCTCTCCACACTCAGACTTCACACCATAAGGATTCCGGAAACCCATTTCACAGTAGACAGCGAATCATTTATATGGCTATTAACCTCTGGGAAGTGCACAAGTGCAAAATATGGCCTGCTTCTAATCCTGTCCTCTCAAAAATGGCTGAGACAAAGTTCGAGAGCGGGACTTGTGATTCCCAGCAAATTCTGGCATTTTTGCCAAGGCAGAGATATTCTCCTTCTAGGTGAAAATTGGATCCTAAAGTATTAAAGGTGTAATGTAAGTACAGAGAAGTGATAGCTTTAATTGGACAAGTAAAGTGCATAAGATGTTCCTTGTACAATCTTGAGCTTAATCCGTGCATTTATATAATGCATTCAGCAAAAACACGTCTTGGCAGCCATGCTTCTGTACAGCATCACAATAAAGACAAAAGTAAATGAGCTGTTAAGGAAACAGTATGTTTACCTTGTTGACGTTTGCTTATTTCCCACATCGGAGGCGGTCCTACGTTATTGAATACCCAGATTCAGACAAAGCAGCTTTACACTTTTTCAATTAAATTTTGAAGTTTGAATGTTTGTGCACCTACTTCAGGTACCGATACCTCACTTTTATTCCAGTAACAAAGTAAAATAATCCAAAAATTGCTAAAAGATTTGACAGCAAGGTACACAACCTTTGCTAATCTATAAAGCAGCATAAAGAGTATGAGTATGAATTATCATCATTTGGGAATATTCTTCTGAAGCATGGACTCATTGACTTTATAGGTCCTGGAGGTTACTTAAGAATTTTGGGAGCTGGGGAAATCTGCGATAAATGTTACCTTATTTAGAAGGATGTATAGTTCAAAACATGATTACTTAATGAAAATCAGTGGAAATCAAGACTTTGATCATAAAACAATCTAAACATTCCTTACTCCGCTTCTCAATTGAAGATGATAATGTCCTTTCATTTAAAAAATAATTGGCCTTTTTACATTTTAGCTGTCACAAGTAAGAAGGTGTTGATTCTCAAAGCATTTCCACAATAGGCCCCCTGTAATTTATTGAATGAATTAGTTGAGGCATTTTTATCAAGTTTTCTTCATTGTTTATTTATTCAACTCATGGATAACTGTGCTCAGACAAGCTGTTTTAATTTTGCAATTGATTTGATTTGACGCAATCCACTGAATATTTTTTAATAGTCGTACTTACACTCCTTTACATCTTTTCAATGGAGCATCATAAATTTAATGGAATAATGAAGCTTTTGAAAGGAAATGTATCCTCAGTATGGCCAAATTTTTGCTTATATTTTTAATCAATGCATAAAGCTACTATTTTAAATCTTTCTTTTGGCTAAACGTCACTGAATAGATTTATTTAGGTGAAATGGTTTAATAACTGTTATTTTTGAAGTGGCCATCTTCTCAGATGTGACAAAAAATGAAATATCAGAGGACGTTCTTACCCAGACGAAGCTTACATCAAGATTCAATTAGCAAATGGACTCCAATGGAAAATAGCTTAGCTTTTCATCTAGTTCCAAGTGCTCCTTCAGAAGTAAGAGCAAATTCATAGTTCGGCAGGACAGTTTGAAGTAAGACTCTTTTCCATAGCAACCCAGTTCTTTATAGATGAGAAAAATTGCTTATACACAAGATAATTTCAGATGAAGAAGGCTATTTGCTCCATCCTAACTAATTTATCCATGAGAACCCTATAAATCTGCCCATTTTAACATCAACATATTCCTTAAATTGTCTCCAAGATTTTCTCCTGTGCTCTTTTTCCGAAGTTTTGCCTACTCTGTCTAAAGAACTGCTTCCTAAAATTAGTGTTATATTTCCTTTCATTTGTTTAAAGCTGCTTCTCATGCCCTACTTCAATGTTTGCTTAATTTCTTCGTAACCAGAGTACCTTTAATATATATTTTAGATGATTGGATCTTCCTTTACAGGTCTGGTAAATTTGATATCTTCATCGAAAATTGTAAGCCTGCATTCATGGTAGCTGTGGTTTATTTTTCTTTTCAATTTACAAATTAAATTCATGTTGAACTAAAATTAGACTTTTTCTCAAACCGGTCTGTCATTTTTGGGGCATATTTATAAAGTAATGGATTAATAACAAAGAAAATAGCTATCTGTGACTGAAGAAACATTCTGACGTTGACTCTGTGGGCTGCCCAGTCTTGAAGAAAGATGAATAGTAACAGTACAATTTATCCTATGATATTCTGAGATGATGGCATAGTCTGTACACTATTTGTTTACAAACTGAACACTGAATATTTGGGCATGTAACTTTTATCATGATGGAAAGGGTGTCAAAGTATGTGAAAGAAACAGGGAAAAATGGAATGTTTCATAGACCTTTTACAGTACAGGTGTTGACATCTAATGGTTTTTACACTGCAGACATCTGTTTTTTTCTGATTGACAATGCTTTATTCATCGAGGTTATTGAAGTGCTGATTTGTTGACATCTTAAAATTTTGGATTTTTTTTTCATAGACATATACATTGAAGCAATTTTTTTTATTTTTGTTGAGCTTAGTGTTAATGTAACTGCCATGGAATAATGCTTTTGACTGCTGCCTTTTGTTCAAATTTGCACACTCCATTTGTCTAATCTTGTGATTTGGCATTTAATTTAAGCTACTATTGTTAAGTATTTGATTTTTGAACTATGCAGACTGAAATATTCTTGACAGATAATGTACTTTTATATTGCAAAATTGAAGTAATTTTCTTGTTTCGCTTCTGTAGAGGGTAATGAAACAGGAGTGATGGATAGCCTGCTGGAGGCCTTGCAGTCAGGTGCTGCATTCAGGGATCGCAGGAAGCGCACACCAAGAAATCTTGGTAAGTCGTAAAGTCTAAGTGATGTGCAGCTACAAAAAGTAAGATAAAGGATGCATTGTTTATTTCCTCAGAGTTGTTCTCACTAACCTTAGGGACACATTTAAGGACTACTTAAGAAAAAGTATGTTTTTGTTATTAAAGGAATAGGTAGATGGCATTTATCAGTAGTCATTTAAGCCCTAACAGTCATTGAAGAAGAGAATTGAAAGTAGCTTTTCCACATGACAAACTATGGACTACTTGCTTCAAACACAGGCTAAATGAATGTCATGCGAGGCCAAATACGTAATTAACAGCTTAGCAGTCTTTTTAATATTTAATTTGGCAAAAAGAAGAGCAAAGGTTAAATTATAGAAATATTTCCAATAATACCTTGAAATTCAGTTTTTTAATTTCTTTTCTTTGGATATATTCTCTAAACTAATTGCTATTTAAGTGTAGACTTATTTAAATGTGTGCAAATATTCTACATAGATATTATCTATTTGCATTTTTAGCATTGTTTGGATAATTAAATAATTATGAATATCTTGCAAATGGTAATGTATGTGTTGACAAAACCTCAAGCAAATAAAATGCAAGTTTTCATAATTTCAACAATAATGAGTACAGACCTTTGAACATATTTTATAAATAACAAATAGAAATATTTTTATTAATCACCTTTCAAAGTACTTGGGAATACTAGAAATTATTCCAAAGTTTGCCATTGAGAATCTGTTTATTTGAACTAGTGGGTAATGCTGATCTAACATTTTCAGATCTTCTTAAATTTTTAAAAAGTTCAGTCATTAAAATAGATATTATTGAGTCAGCTTAGATATTCCCAGTTGCATTACAGATCATTATGACTAATCTGTTAATTTATGCACTATAGTTTTCACACTGCAAAGGGTTCCTTCATTGTAAATTCATCTGTCATTCAATTAAAGTGAGTTTTTGATAGCTTGCTTCCTGGTCGTTGCAGGTGAACAAGGTCCAGCTAGTCCAACATCCCGATGGCCTGTTGACAAGGGTAAAGGAAAAAATTCAAGTGCTACTTCTTGCTTACTGCTTTTACCTTACTTTCTAGTCTAACCCAGAGCTCCTTTACTGTAGATAGATAATAGGCCATAAACTTCATTTTGGGCCCGAGGCAGTACGCTAATGGAGGACGGTTTGATGATGGCAAATTTTCCTATAATGTTAGTTCTTAGAACATCTGTATTTTAGGTTTCTCAGCAATATCAGTTTCATGTCCAGCGTTGCCTCAACCAGTGCCTTGGCATTAAGCTCAAAATGTCAAGCGTTGTGCCTAGTCCAAACTTTCTTAATGGAATCTGGCCTTACCCTGTACTTTGTGCTTCAGAAATACATCAATGATATTCTGGTCTTATCTGCTTTTTTTTTGCCGTAGGGAAGCAGAAGCTTTGAAGATGTGTATGTTATTATTACTTTTAATAGGTTCATCTCTGGAATGTTGCAACGGAATATTAACTCCACTTTCAATTTCATTTTTGGACTAATTTCCCAGGTATCATGCAGCATATTGCATCCAGTTCCCTGATAGTACTCTAAGACCCCAGGCATAATTATTATGAACCAATTAAATTCATTTGTGTTTCTTGATTAAGTTACCAGAGGTAGTTATAATATCATTAGCGGTTTGACACCCTGGCAGATAATTTGTCAGAAAAAAAGCCAGAGCATTGTAAAACAAGCTTTAGGTTTTTTTTGAAAGTTTTTAATGCTTAATTTGAATTATTTCTACACGGTGTCTGGAAATCTGGCAATTTATTTGACTTCATGAGCATAACGTGTGTTACTGCATACTGGACACAGTTGTTATTCATTGCAATTGATATCCCTTTTGTTTAGAAAAATTGGACAGCACTAAGCAAATCTTACTGGCTGTAAAAATGTGTGTCTGACTGGAACTCCAGTATTATAACATTGTCTTGCAATTTTTCAAGATTTTTAAAAGTTCATGGACTCTGTCTGTGTTATAGTTTGTTAAAGGTGAGCTGCTTGTAGTGAACATGGAGATAGGAAAGCTAATGAGTTACTAGAATGATGTTTGCTTCTTTTTTCCTGTGCCCAATTCACAATACTGAATATATTTCTTTCCTCTGTATCCATGAATAAAAAGAAAATTCAGGCACATAGGGTAAATAATGAGCAAATGAATGATTCAGTTGCAACTGATAGACTGTCTAATAAAGTCCAATCTAATAACATGAAATAAGAGAAGGAACTCTGGATTATACATTCTACCTTCTGTCAACCAAGGCATTGTGCTAACTTAAAGAAGGATGATCCAATTTCTAAATTTAACAAAGCATTTGGGAGTAATAAGATCAGACTACTGGGTACAAACATAAATCATGCCTTTGAGTAGTAGATTATTGAGTCTTTCAAGTGGATCTCAGTGATTTTTTTTTAAACAAAGTCTAAAAATCAAGGTGTATATTTTCATATGCATTTGTACGCTGGTGGTTAGAAAAAGGAGCACATATTCTGTAATATGTATTATAATAACATATGTTTGTGCTTTAACATTACTCCTTCAAGGAGTATTATTAAACTAAATATGCCACCAAGTCACACAGGGTTTCAGTCAGATGAACAAAAGCTTGGTACATGAGCGAGATTTTAAAGAAGAGTCTTAAGGGAAGGGAGATAGGTAGAGGTACGAAGTTGTGTAGGGAAGGAAAACCAGAGCTCAAGGCTGAGATAACTAGAGATCCAGGCCATAATGACACAGCAATTAAACTTGGGGATTCTCCTGAGTCTGGAATAAGAGAAGTGCAGATTTCTTGGAGGACTGTGGGACTTGAGATTACAGAGATAGGAAATCGTGGAGAGATTTAAAAACAAAGATGAGACTGTGTAAATGAAGACAATGCTTGACTCAAAGTTGTAACTGGTCAGCGAGCACAGAAATGTTAGGGGAATGAGAGTTGGTGTGAGTTAGAATGTGGGATCCTTTGGATGATCTTGAATTTGTGGGGGGCACAATGTGGGACATCAATCAGGAATACATCAGAATAATTAAGACAAGGAGTGGTACACTTCGTTTGTTACAAAATACAGTGAGAAGTGTTGCACAGTGTCGCCACTCTCTGGCGACATCTTAAAACACAGAAAAATAGACCAAAACTAGAACACAAAGGCAGAAAAATAAAGAAATAGTGTTCAACTTTACAGTCATTCTTGCTAAGTATTCTGCCATGGGCCTAGTGACCAGCCACGAGTCGCCTTCACTGCACCACTGGAACAAGAGTCACCACTCTTCGGCATGGTCTCACCTCCACTGGCGCCCTTGCTGCTACGAGTCTTTGCTGGACCTCGCCAATGAAGTCGCGTCCAATGCCACCGGTTACCACACCAGCCCAAACTTGACTCCAATGCTGCCAGGAGTCTGCTTCGGGCCCACCTTACTGATGCAGCCATTGCTGGCTGCTGCCATCAGGTCTCGTACTGACCCCAAACTCACCTCCACCACTGCTTCATGAATCTGCGCTGGACACAAACACTGCTGGGAACCCAAACTCGCCTCTGCCACAGCAAGCATGAGTTAGTGCGAGGATCGCCTCGTTGATACAGAAGCACTGGGCTCATTGGCCAACCGCTAAGAGCCTGCACTGGGCTCGCTCGCCACAGCCAATGGCATCACCACGACTGAGCTCTTCAACAAGAGGTAAGTAAAAGAAAAAAAATGAAAAGAAGTGAGAAAGGAAAATAAAGGGAAAGAAATAAAAATAAAAGCAGACAGCGTGGACGAGACCCCAAGAACCCTTCTCCACCATGATCTCACCAGATGAAGAATGCTTTCCTAAAAAGGCAGTGCTGAAAGTTTCAACAGCAAATGAGCGAAGACAACGTTATGGAAGTAGAAATCAGTCACAGTGTGTGGCTCAAATCTGTAGCCAGCAGCTCAACTCGGAGTCAAATGTGAAATCAAGATTGCAAACGACCTGCATTAGTTTCAGACTGTTACCAGGGAGACTGACTGATTCACTTGCTAGGAAATGAAGTTTGGAGCAAGGTTTGGAAGCAACGGCTTTGATCTTCCAAACGCTTAAATGGAGGAAATTTCTGCTCATCCATTACTGAATAATTATTATGATGAAGCAACTTGTACCGAGAGAGAAAACAGAGACAGAGAAGGGGGAGAGTGTGAGCTGGAGAGAAGAAGGGTGGATAGTTGATCAGAAACAGCTGGAAAGGGATAGAAATCGGACGAAAGAGAAAAGAATAGCTATGTGGAATATCTCAGATTAATGGGCCTTTGAGCTGGGCTCAGTGAAGATGTTACTAGACATTAAAATCTCTTAGTGGGGAGGAGGAAAGATGAGACCCCAAAAATTTCATCAATCTGTTTACATGGATATTAAAGTAGGAGGGAATGGTTGTCTTTGACCCTGAAGGTCAACTAATAAAGGGGTAGGGGCAGCCGCAAGTCCAAGAAGTGGCATACATCTGGAACAGCATTGAAGTTAGTGGTATTTGTAAATGCAGAGATTATAATAGAGATAATTGTAAATCTTGGAAAAGTGGTTTCTCTCGTGACAGAGAAATTTGCAGGGGCAGATCATGATAGTGGGCTTAATGAATGACAGGAAAGTGAAATTAATATTTTTTTTATTTCATGTGTGAGTGGCAATATCAAGATAAGAAACAATCAGTGATCTTATTTCGCTAAAGAGTCCAGCAAGGAAGGCTGTCACTTTGATATAATTCGTGACTGTTATTTTTGTAAATATGAGGGCAAGTTTTATACAGGATAGATGTGGGAAATTAAGGTATTTCATATTATACCACTTCCCAATAGGCTTCACTGTAAGGCAGCTCTGACAATAATACCAGAGTTTTTTTAAAAAATTTTAATATTCCCAGTTTGTAATTAACATTTCAAAGGGTCAAAATTTAGCTGAATTCCCTTTTCTGAGAGCTGGTGCCATCCTGCCATAGCTCGAAGTTGTATTAGAAGCTAGCCTTTTGTGACATGTATTTTGACACTCTATATGTTAATCACAGCAACCTTTGCAGATATAACAAGTGTACGAAATGTTGATGTTACCTTGGGGTGACATTGTCTGCTCGAGAAGGATCATGTAATTCCAGAGCAAGAAGTTTAAGTAAATCTTCGAATGATCACAGCACCAAAGATGCCATTGTGGTTGTGTTGGTCCTTTCAAAGTGTCACTCCCGTGCTATTTCCTCATAGCCTTGCATTTGTTTTTCCATTTCACATAATGATGTAATTCCCTTATGAAAGCCAAAATTGACACTATTTCCAACACATTTTAGGCAGTGCACCCCAAATATTAGCCACCTTGCTGCATGAAAATATTTTTCCACATATCACCATTTTATTTGCCAACTACCTTTAAACCTGTGTTGCTTGGTTCTCAATCCTACCACTAATGGAAATATATTTTCCCTTTCTATTCTGCCCATACCCTTCATGGTTTTGAATCCCTTTATCAAATCTGTTCTTGCTCTTCTCTTTTTCAAGGAAAATAGTCTCCAACATTTCCATGTATCTAACCATAGGCAGTTTCCAGTATAATACATGTAGGAATTTATCATGGTCAAATGTTCAGGAGAAAGGAAGTGCATATGGATCCAATTTTGAATTGTAGTTACCATGAAGCACTCTCCTTCTCAACCTCTCCCTTCACCTGAGGCATGGTAACCCTCAGGTTAAAACACTATCGTTCATCTCTCTCTGATGAGGGAGCAGCCCTGTGATCTGGTAACACAATGGTGACTTTACCTTTTTGATAACATATTTTATACATCTGCACAGAACCAGTGTAAAACTGTTGCTTTATTCTGCTTAAACATCATCACTTTTGTTTTTAGTTATAATCATGAATGACTTCATTATACCGAGAAGGTAAACAAAACAATGGGTTGAGTTTTATCAAACATTGGCCAAGTGTCAATTTTGAGAAATTTCAACCGAATGTTTCTCTGAGTGAGTTCCAGCGAGTTATCGCAGCTAATTCCCCCAGCTCGCTTCATTAT